CCGACTTCTCTGGATGTGAGTGCAATGCCCACCACCGACTTCTCTGGATGTGAGTGCAATGCCCACCACCGACTTCTCTGGATGTGAGTGCAATGCCCACCCCCGACTTCTCTGGATGTGCGTGCAAATTCCGCTCTGTTTTCGCATATTTTTTCGTTTCCTTGTCGCATCTTTCAATTTCTGTTTTGTTTGTTTGTTTTTTTTTATTTTTCTGTTTTCACTCGCGTCTTCACCAGCAACTTATCTTTCTTTCCTTAGATCCCCCTCTTGCATTCCTGTATGGCAGGGCGCAGCGTGGCGGAGTGGAGAGCTGGTGGCAGTGGCTGCAGCGGGGGAGGCGCGGCACTTTTGAGGACGGCGCGTATGCAAGGGGAGGGCGAGCATAGTGGGATGACGCACGGCCGGCCCTACCCGTCCTGCTGACCACCCGCTCGCGAGGGCGAGGGTGTCACTGCAATGCAAGCAGATGGAGCGAGGCGAGGAGGCGCTTGGGGCGCGGCGAGGAGGCATCTGGAGAGAGGAGGATGACGAGAGGGGATTGCTGACTCGGTGAACGGACGGTGAAGGCGGTTTAACGGTGGCCTGCAGTGGACGCGAGACAACAATCAGCTGCTGCAAGCGACAACAAAACCAATTGAGCTTTCTTACCCTTGCCTCTCTCGCTCTATCTCGCTGTCTTTCTCGTTTCTCTTTGACATATCACCGACGCTTCACAGAGGCGACAGCCACTGCCACCTCCTTCTCTGGATGTGAGTGCATCCTTAGCTTTGCATTGACTTGTCTGATTTTTTTGCCGACGATGGATGTGCGAAGCCCGCCACGGCCTTCTCTGGATGTGAGTGCATCAGTAGGTTTGCATTGGCTTTTCTCTGATTCTTTGTCGACGATGGATGGGGGTGGAACTCCTACGACACGCTCTCTGGATTTGAGTGCAACTCACGGCGAGGCAAGAAGCGTGCGGCTAGAGGCGAGGCGAGGCTGCGAGGTAAGGTGAGACTGTGAGACCCAATCCGTGGGCGGCAGATGGAACGAGGAGAAGAGCGAGAGAGGTGGGATGACGCACGGCCAGCAGCCACTGGCATGTGGCTGCCTCCTACCCGCCCTGCTGACCACCCGCTTGCTGGCGGCATGCGAGGCGATGCGGATGGAGCAAGGATGGAGCGAGCGAAGCTCGTTGTTCCCATCCATGCGTGTTCTCCCACCTGCACCCTTGGGGTGAGGTGGAGGTGCGACAAGGAGAGGCTCATAAGCTGAAGGAGGGGTTACTTGGAGGGAGAGGCTGTCGTGTGTGGAAGGGAGTACAAAGCTGGGAGAAAGGTGTGTCTGAGTGGTGATACTTTGATTGGGGGTGGGACCTCCCTCTCATTGCTCTCCTCTCACTCTCCCTCTTGCCCAGCTGAGCCGCGGTAAGTGTGTGTTGGATGCGTGCTGTGAGTGGTGGCTGCCACCCCACTCTTTGGTTCTCATCCCACCGCTTGTCCCACCGCTTGTTCAACTCACCCTAAGCATACTTCACCTCATACTTCCCAGTCAACTCCTCCTTTGGCCTTTGACGCACTCCTCATCAGCACTCGTTGCTGTTCCCCCTTAAGAGGGAGTATCGGCAGCGCCTGCCTTGAGAAGGGAGTAAGGGTGGGTCCGAGGGAGTGCACTTTGGTGCAATCAGCAGCGCCTGCCTTGAGAAGGGAGTATGGATGGGTCCGAGGAAGTGCAGTGCGGTGCCATCAGCAACGCCTGCCTTGAGTAGGGAGTATGGATGGGTCCGAGGGAGTGTAGTGCGGTGCCATCAGCAGCGCCTGCCTTGAGAAGGGAGTATGGGTGGTTCCGAGGGAGTGCAGTGCGGTGCCATCAGCAGCGCCTGCCTTGATGGGTGGTTCCGAGGGAGTACAGTGCGGTGCCATCAGCAACGCATGCCTTGAGAAGGGAGTATGGGTCCGAGGGAGTGCAGTGCGGTGCCATCAGCAGCGCCTGCCTTTAGAAGGGTGTATGGGTCCGAGGGAGTGCAGTGCGGTGCCATCAGCAGCCCCTGCCTTGAGAAGGATGTATGGGTCCAAGGGAGTGCAGTGCGGTACCCCTTTAAAAGGGAGTATCAGCAACGCCTGCCTTGAGAAGGGAGTATGGATGGGTCTGAGGGAGTGCAGTGCGGTGCCATCAGCAGCGCCTGCCTTGAGAAGGGAGTATGGATGGGTCCGAGGGAGTGCAGTGCGGTGCCATCAGCAGCGCCTGCCTTGAGAAGGTAGTATGGATGGGTCCAAGGGAGTGCAGTGTGGTGCCATCAGCAACGCCTGCCATGAGAAGGGAGTATGGGCGGAGGAGAACAACTTTTTCTTTCTTGTTTTCTTGCTTCTTTCCTTGTCTCTTGTTTCGTTTTCATTTTGCATTCTGTTTTCCCTTGCACCCTCACCAGCAACTTAAATTTGTTTCCTCAAATGCCCCCTTGTCGCATGTTTCAATTTTTGCTTTGTTTTTGCATTCTCTTTTTGCTAGCATCTTCACCAGCAACTTACCTTTCTTTCCTTAGTTCCCGTTGCATTACTGTTTTGCAGAGCGTGAAGCGTGGCAGCAGCAATTACACGGGAGGGAGGGGGGACGCGGGTTGGCATGCGGAGGAGGAGGGAGCAGCAGCACCAACAGTGTCTTCTTTCAGAAGGGAGTATGGGGCTCAGGAGGGGTCCAATTTCCGCTCTGTTTCTGCATTCGTTTCATTTCGTTGTTGCATGTCTCAGAATTTGTTTCCATTTTTGCATTCTCTTCACCAGCCACTTATCTTTCTTCCCTTAGCCCCCCCCCCCCCCCCCTTCTTGCTTTCCTGTTCTGCAGAGCGGGAGGCGTGGCAGCAGCAGCTACACGGGAGGGACGAGGGAGGCCGGTTGGCGTGCGGAGGAGGAGGGAGCAGCAGCACCAGCAGCGTCTTCTTTCAAAAGGGAGTATGGCCTCAGGGAGGGGATCGATTTCTGCTCTGTTTCCGCATTCGTTTCGGATTCGTTGTCGCATGTTTCAGTTTCTGTTTCGTTTTTTGCATTCTCTTCACCAGCCACTTATCTTTCTTCCCTTAGCCCCTCCCTCTTGCATTCCTGTACTGCAGAGCGGGAGGCGTGGCAGCAGCAGCTACACGGGCAGAAGGGAGGCGGGTTGGCATGCGGAGGAGGAGGAAGCAGCAGCACCAACATCGTCTTCTTTCAGAAGGGAGTATGGGGTTCAGGGAGGGGTCCAATTTTCGCTCTGTTTCTGCATTCCTTTCATTTCGTTGTTGCATGTTTCAATTTTTGTTCCCTTTTTTGCATTCTCTTCACCAGCCACTTATCTTTCTTCCCTTAGCCCCTTCCTCTTGCATTCCTGTACTGCAGAGCGGGAGGCGTGGCAGCAGCAGCTACACGGGCAGAAGGGAGGCGGGTTGGCATGCGGAGGAGGAGGGAGCAGCGCCAACAGCGTCTTCTTTCAGAAGGGAGTATGGGGCTCAGGGAGGGGTCCAATTTCCGCTCTGTTTCTGCATTCGTTTCATTTCGTTGTTGCATGTTTCAGTTTTTGTTTCCTTTTTTGCATTCTCTTCACCAGCCACTTATCTTTCTTCCCTTAGCCCCCCCCCTTATTGCTTTCCTGTTCTGCAGAGCGGGAGGCGTGGCAGCAGCAGCTACACGGGAGGGACGAGGGAGGCCGGTTGGCGTGCGGAGGAGGAGGGAGCAGCAGCACCAGCAGCGTCCTCTTTCAAAAGGGAGTATGGGGCTCAGGGAGGGGATCGATTTCCTTTTGTTTCCGCATTCGTTTCGTTTTTTTGTTGCATGTTTCAATTCTGTTTCGTTTTTTGCATTCTCTTCACCAGCCACTTATCTTTCTTCCCTTAGCCCCCCCCTCTTGCATTCCTGTACTGCAGAGTGGGAGGCATGGCAGCAGCAGCTACACGGGGAGGCGGGTTGGAGAGCGGAGGAGGAGGGAGCAGCAGCTGTCACCAGCAGCGCCTGCTTTCACAGGGGAGTATGGGGCTCAGGGAAGGGACCGATCTCCGCTCTATTTTTGATTGCTTTTCATTACCTTGTCGCATGTTTCAATTTCTGCTTCGCTTTTTGCATTCTCTTCACCAGCCACTTATCTTTCTTCCCTTTGCTCCCCCCTCTCGCATTCCTGTACTGCAGAATGGGAGGCACGGCAGCAGCAGCTACAGGGGAGGGAGGAGGGAGGCGGGTTGGAGTGCGGAGGAGGAGGGGTGAGGCGTGAGGGGTGAGGGGTGAGGGGTGAGTGGTGAGGGCCTTGTGTGCTGTTCTTGAGGCGCCTCAAGACAGACTGTGAACTGCCGGTGGCGGTTCTGTTCTGTTTACTGCAGTGCACTGCAGCTTGTCGTTATGTGTCCGTTCCGGTCAGTCCGTTGGTCCCTGAGTTTTGGGAGACGTCCCAAAACTCGTGTTCTCCTCACTGCAATTCGCTGCAGTGAGCAAACCCATCTCTCTTGTTCCTCACAGCAGCCTAGCTGCAGTGAGCAAAATTACACAGCTGGTCAAGCAGCAAGACTGGGCAGCAAGGACGGGCAGCACCTGCTTTGAGGATGATTTTCATCTGCCCCCGGGCAGTATGCATTGTGTTTCTTTCTCTCTCTCCCCCCCCCTCCCCTCCAACAGGGTCCTAAGCGATGGTTCCCACCTCACCGTGGTGCTTGGGTGTAACGTCAGGAGCTCTGCTCCTGGCGGCCAAGAGGAACCCCCCATGCATACATACAGTGCATGGGTAGTATACTACCGGTATCTAGTATAGCAGATTATCAAAATTTAGTTCTTGATTATATTAGTAAGTATTTATTAGACGGTGACGATGATACATATTAGCTGGTTTACAGCGTAAAATTGTGGTGGCAATAAAAGACTCTGGACATTTCTGTACTAGACGTCGGTATCGTAACCAATAGTAATACCTACGATACGGTATCCCAGGGTATGCACCAATACTACCCATGTTACTGGGCGCTGGTCTGTTACAATGACCCAACTCCCCTTGCCTGCCTTGAGCAAGGGTCAGCCCTGCACCTGCAATGCGATGAGGTCGAGCTTAGCGGGGCGCTTGTAACGGCGCAGGAGCAGGGAGGAGCACACCACACTGACGGATGACAGGGCCATGGCAGCACCAGCGATCCAGGGAGGCAGGCGGAAGTGCAGGGGCGTGGGGTAGAGTACCCCAGCAGCGATGGGGATGCCCAACACGTTATACCCCAACACGTGGGCGTGTTGGTACTACCGGTATTCAATACATGAAACAAGGTATTTGAAAAACAAACATTTCACTATATAACAATATGTACAAGCATACATAGCAGAGTGAACATATATCAATTATGTACAAAATGGGCATGCAACTAACAATACTTGGTGAACACCCTACTATCCATGTTCCATGCTGCCAACATTGCCACGAATGTTCCAGCCCCCCATTTCCGGCCTTGAACGAGTCAGCCCTGCACCTGCAGTGCAATGAGATCTAGCTTAGCCGGCCGTTTGTAGCGGCGCAGGAGCAGGGAGGAGCACACCACACTGACAGACGACAGGGCCATGGCAGCACCGGCAATCCAGGGAGGCAGGCGGAAGTGCAGGGGCGTGGGGTAAAGCACCCCAGCAGCAATGGGGATGCCCAACACGTTATACCCCAGCGCCCACACATAATTCAGTCGAATGCGATTCAGCGTCGTGCGTGCCAGATCAACGGCTGTGATCACATCCTCCAGGGACGAGCGCATGAGCACCACGTCAGCTGCTTCTATCGCGATATCTGTACCGGCGCCTATAGCCATGCCCACATCAGCTGCGACGAGCGCGGGGGAGTCATTGACCCCGTCGCCCACCATGGCCACCTGCTGCCCCTCCGCCTGCCTGTGCCGCACATACTCCGCCTTGTGCTGTGGCACCGCCTCCGCCACCACATCGCTCTCCGCTATCCCCACGGCGCGCGCGACTGCTTTAGCGGCGCCCCAGTTGTCCCCGGTGACGAGCACGGGGTGCATGCCCATGGCCTTGAGCAGAGCCACCACGGGCGCTGCCTCAGGCTTCACCGGGTCTGCCACCGCCACGCCCGCCACCACCTGCCCGTCCAACGCCACCAGGATGCCTGTCTGCGCCTCCGCCTGCACCTCCTCCAACCACCGCTCCGCTCGAGGTGGCACGGGCAGCAGTGTGGTCCTGGGGAGAGAGGAGGAGGACGACTCGGATGAGGGGTCGACCGTGGGGGGATCTCGCATCAGCTTCAGGTTACCCACTGCCACGTGGCGGCCGCTGATTTGACAGATGATTCCGTGGCCTGGGATGGAGTGGAAGGAGTCGACTGGAGGGAGAGATGAGAGGGCCCCTCTACTGTTGCTGCTGCTGCTGCTGCTGCTGGAGTTAGTGGTGGCGTTGCTGTGAGTAGTGGCGACCCCACTCAGCTCAACACCCGTGCTGTTCCTACTGGTAGCAGTAGCAGCATGGCCGGCAGTGGGGGGGGCAGCTGAGAGGCTGCACAGCTCGACAGCGGCATCAGAATAAGAGAGAGGGAGGAGAGGAGGAGGGGACGAGGGAGGCGAGGGTGGCGGGGAAAGAGGAAGTGAGGGTGGAGGTTTACTGGAGGAGGAGGTGGAGGAGGTGGCTGAGGCAGAAGGGGGAAGGGGGAGGGGCGGGAGTGGGATGTGGGAGAGGGATGGGAGCGAGGAGGGGAGGAGGGGCGAGTGCGTGCAATAGTCGGTGATGGCCTTGGCTAACGGGTGCTCGCTGTTGGCCTCAGCAGCAGCGAGCAGGGCGAGCAGGTCAGGCATGGCGAGGCGTGAGGTGAAGAGAGCCGTGGTGGTGACGCTGGGCTTGCCCTGTGTGAGCGTGCCCGTCTTGTCAAACACCACCGCCTCTATCTTGTGCGCGCGCTCGAGTGCATCGGCGCCCTTGATGAGAATGCCCTGCTGCGCGCCCACCCCCGTGGCCACCATGACTGCTGTGGGTGTGGCCAGGCCTAGTGCGCACGGGCATGCGATGACCAGCACTGCGATGCCGAACTGCAACGCTAGCTCGAACGGCGTCATGCCTGTTGGTAACCAGGAGGCAGGGAAGGTGCCAAGATAGCCCGTTATGAGCCATGCTAGGAAGACCACCAGTGCCAGCAGCACGACCTGTGGGGAGGAAGAGGGGGAAAGTGGGGGAAGGTGGAAGAGAGGGAGGATGGGACAAGATTAGGAAGGAAAAGAGGGGATGAAGAAGAGGAGGTGAGATGTGTGGTAAGAAGGCCATAGCGCAATCATAGGCGGGGGGTGAGGTGCAGCAATGTCATGACGAGTAAGCGGAGTGAGAAAGATGGCAGCAAATGCAAGGCAGTGAAGGGCAAGCAGAAGGCAAGCATACACCGGCCAGGGTACTCACAGTGGGCACAAAGACAGCTGAGATCTGGTCTGCCACGCGTTGAATCGGAGCTTTCGCCATCTGTGCCGCCTCCACCAGCTTCACGATCTGCGCCAGCGCCGTCTCACCGCCCACACGCGTGGCGCGCACATGCACACTGCCGCTCAGGTTGAGCGTGCCACCGATGACGTCACTGCCCACGCCCTTGAGCACGGGGCGGGCCTCCCCCGTGACCATGCTCTCGTTGGCATAAGTGTGTCCCCACACCACCACGCCATCCACCGGCATCTTGCCACCCGGCGCCACGCGGATGATGTCCCCGCGCTGAATCAGCGCCGCTTCTATCTCCCGCTCCCCCACCACGCGCATCCCTTCCCCCTCCTCACCCATCAACCGCTCTTCCTCCCCCTCCCCGTTCCCCTCGCCTCCTCCCACAGGGCTCCCCTCCGCTTTCTCCTCCGCGCCCCCCTGCACGCCCCTTTCCACGGAGAGCAGCACAGCAGTGGCGGGGGCGAGGTTGAGCAGCTTGCCGATGGCATCACTCGTGCGGCCCCTGGCGACGGCCTCCAGGTACTTGCCCAGCACGATGAACGAGATGAGCATGGCGCTCGTCTCAAAGAAATCCACCCCCGCGTATGCCGAAGCAGATGCCGATGCAGATGCGTCCCCGCCGCCGCCCCCGCTCATACCCTCCATGATCATCCGTGCCACATGCGCCACTGCAGCACCGGCACCGCTGCTGCTATCATGTGAATCTGCAACAGCACTGGGGGCGGTCATAGCGGCGGCTGCAGCAGCGGTGGGGGAGGAAGCGGGGGAGGGCAGGGGCGTGGCGGCGGCGGCGATGAGCGCGAAGAGGGAGTAGAAGAAGGCGGCGTTGGTGCCGATGGCCACCAGCACGTCCATGTTGGCTGCTCGCCGCCGTAGTGCGTAGAATGCTCCCGTGTAGAACCGCCACCCCACCACAAACTGCACTGGCGCTGTTAGTAGTCCGCGCAGCAACATGCCGATGGGAAGCCTGGGGGGAGGAATGGGGACAGAGGGAGGGGGAGATGGGGTGAGTGGATGTGTCAACCAACCCAGAGACCGCAGCGAGTGTGCTTGCTGGTGTGTGCGCAAGGAAAGGCGAGAACACGAAGGGCATGAGAGAGGTGAGAGGGAGGGTGAGAGGAGGCGTGGTTTATTTATCAAAAGTTGTTCCATTTGGAACGGTAACTCACGAGTTGATGACGGGAGTCATGAGCCAGGCGTCGAAGGGCGGGATGTGGTTGAGCACCATGGCGAGCAGGAACACAGGCACCGTGAACACCAGGCTCCACACGAACTGCCGCCACAGCTTCCGCACCTCGCGCTCGCGCTCCTTCGCCCCCGCGCTCCCCCCGACCCCTCCCTCGCTCTCCGCCAGCTCCACCTTCGTCACCCCGCCCACCCCCGCCACTTCCGCCTGCAGCGCCTCGAGAATGTCGCGCGCGCCCGTGCGGTCGGGGTCGAACGTCACCGCGGCCGTCTCGCTCTCCGCGCGCACTGCGGCGGCCGACACTCCCGGCAGCGCGCACAGCACCGCCTCAATGCGCGCAGGCAGCGGAAGCGGTGCCGCGCGCGCGGAAGATCGCGCGGGGAGCGCGGAATCAGCGGCGGCGGCGGCGAGGCCGTGCAGGCGGTAGCGGAGAGTGTGCGCCTGGGGCGCGTCGGCGGAAGCGGCGGAGTCGTCGAGGAGATGCGCGGAGGGGAAGCCCGCGTGGTGCACGGCGGCGAGGAGATCGGCGGGGGAGAGCGCGGCGGAATCGAGGACGACGTGCGCCTCCGCCGTGGAGAGCGAGACGGTCGCGGATAACACGCCCGCATGGCCCTGCGCGCACAGGGGGAACACAGGGAGGGGACACGGGGGAGGTGAGTGATCACGACGAGGAGAGCAACGCTAGGACGGCGACGAGGGGAGCGACGGGGGGAGCGAGCGCAGCGAGGGTAGTGGCGGATAATCAAGCGCGACGGTAAGATGAGGAGGCACTACATTTTAAACGCTGGGGGTACTGGTTACGGAACTCACCTGTAACATTTCCTCCAGAGAGCCCGCGGAGCTGACGAGCAGCAGGTCGGGGACGCGCAGGCGGCAGGGGCGCGCTCCCCCCACGGGGTGAAGGGCGGAAGCGGAGAGCGGATCGTCCATAACGGTGACGTCGAACCCCGCATCCTCCACCGCTGCCGCGATGTCGTCCGCCTGCACGGGGGAAGGACGGGGGAAGGGCGAGGAGGAATTAAAAAGGGGAATAGGTGAAGTTAGAAAGGCGAGGGAGAAGGACAGCCGTCGTCATCATCCTTGCGCATCCGCGCAGCAGGGGTGGGAAAGCGCGACTCACGTTGGTCTTCATGTTGTTGTACGTCACTTGCGCGCGCCCGTTCACCACGGACACGACGGCGCGCGACACGCCGTCGATGCGCATCAGCGCCTTCTCGATGGACGCCGCGCACGCCGCGCACGCCATGCCGCCCACCGCCAGCTGCACCTCCGCCGCCATGTTGCCCGCCGCGCCGCCACTATCCCCGACTGCGCCGCGCCCCGCGCCTCCCGCTGCGGCGCAGCGGGGAGGAGAAGCTCTAGCGCTGCTGTCGGTTGCATGCGGGGACGTCGGGCGGGCTGGCAAACGAGAAGCCTTGCGCGGACGGCCTTTGGGCGGAAAGAGCGCCGCGCGGAAAAGGTGCCAGAGGGACTTGCGGCCTGATCTCGACATTACAGTGTCGGCTGCTACTAACGCGTCTGAAGGATGCTGCAGGGGACGGCTAGACGCGGAGTCCGTTAAAACCATGGCTGGTTCGAAGAGGTCGGAGTGGGTATGGTCTTATGCTCTCTAGGATGCGCGAGCAGGGAAGGACAATTGGGCCTGCGGGATGCAGCGAGGTGGGGAAGGCGAGCAAAAGAGGCCGCGGAGGAGCCGCGATGGGAGATGGCGCGGTGGGGAGGAGTCGTAGTATGTGGTGCAATGCTATTTGCGCTTGCCTAAGTGAGCGTTGTCGGAAATTATGGGCGCGATTTACGAAACAAAGACGGAGATTATGGAGATGTGTCACAGTGACGGAGATTTTATAGACGCATCACTAGAACAAACGACAAATCTCGAAGGAAGGCGACGCGTGAGACACGTGTGTGCTGCAATTAGCAGGCAATCTGCCTGCATTCGCGAAACGTCTGTGAGGAACCTGCATGGATGTGTGTTGGTAACCTCGAGGTGGTTTCGTGTTCATACTCGACAGCTACACTGTCAGTTTCATATGCTGTTAATGTTTTATGGTAATACTACAGGCTTCAGCCACTTAGTGTCAACCCGCAAAAGAATTGGATTAGCCTATAATCATATTACATAATATCAAACATCATTGTGAAGCCTTGTTACCTCTTTTCCCAACTGGTTTCACTTTCCTACCCTTGTCTTGTGCAGGCAAAGCCTTGGTTGTGCCCTTTCTAATACCAGCCACCTGCGATATTGCCTTTTCCACTTTCTGTCCTTTCACAACCGCTGCCTTAGCTGCTCGCTTACCCGTGACCACGTGCCCTTTACCTGCAGCAGCAGGAACACCGCCTTTCTTTCCCTGCGCTCCTCCGGTCCTGCCCTTCCCGCCTGCTGCGGCTGGGACAGCAGGGACAGCCTTGCCTCCTCTCGCTTTCTCTGCAACCGGCCCTTTATTCCCTCCCTTGCCAACAACCCCAATACTGGCTCCTTTTCTGTCAGGCGCTGCAACACTTTTCCCTCGCTGAGAACCTCTTTTGCTTGCCACAGTAGCCTTCTTCGCTGCACCACCACCAACACCACCAGCAGTTGCACCACCACCACCAGTTCCAGCAGCAGCAACAGCAGCAGCAGCTCCAGCAGCGTTCCCTGGGTCGGGGCGAGCGGGCTTCTCAATGACGGCGTTGAGGTAGAGGTGGAAGCCCTTGCGCTCGCCGGACTCGGGCTTGGGGGAGAAGCCCCACTTGAGGCGGCGGTAGCGCAGCAGGTCTATCACGGCCACGTACAGCGGCATCTCGTCCACGGGCGCGTAAAACATCTCAAACCACACTATGCCACCTGAGGGACACACAGGCCATGCACACACACAGGACAGCTTGAATATGCTGCTCTCAGATTTGCACAAGGGAGGGAGCGAGCAAATTTGGAGCCACAGCTGCGGCAGTAAGCAATTGTCCGGTGACTTGAAACACAGTGCATGCAAGATGGCAGGGAGAGGAGCATGTGGCGCAGAGCACTGACCTGGTCTGAGCACGCGGTCCCACTCGAAGACGAGCTCTTCAAAGTCCAGGATGGGCAGGTACTTGACGCTGTTCACACTGTGAATGATGTCCAACGTGTTGTCGTAGAATGGCAGCCGCGCCTGCACAAACCAGGGGGGGAAGGAGGAGGGAGAAGGGAAGAGAAAGGGGGGGGGGACACAGGTGGGGCGTAAAGGGTTAAACAGGGTGGCAGGCTGAGAGGCGGAGCAGTGGGGCCGGTGGCTAGGAGGCCAGGGGCGGGTTGAAGGGATGGGTTTCAGGAGCTGACCTTGTGGGGCACGAAGAGGGGGATGAGGCCTCTGAGCGCGATGGTCTCCATGTAGGGCAGCCCGCCATAGTTGCCGTTGACTGTCTCGCTGTTCATGGCCGTGGTCAGCACTGTCACATTGTACCGTGCCATGTGCGCTGCAAAGCTGCCCGTCCCACCCCCCGCATCCAGACCCAGCCTGTGGGAGAGCAGAGGGAGTGGTGAAGGAAGGTGGAAATGAAAATGAATCTTCGAAACTGACTGACAAATACTAAATACAAAAGCTGTTCAGTAACTTAACTTCAGGATGTAGCAATGATGCAAGCAGCTGGAAACACCATCACCACACATGCTCCACTCCTCGCCTCACCTGAGCGCGCCTCGCTTGAGCTTGATGACGTCAGCCATGGTGTGTGAGCCGCGGTAGGCGCGCTGCCAGCGGTAGCTCTCGAGCGTGAGGTTGAAGCAGTTGCGACAGTCGCCCAGTGCACGCGCGTTGAGACACGCAAAGGACTTGCAGTGGTGGCTGCCCCACCGCACGTTCTCATCCTTGAGTGCGCGATGGTCAAACAGCGACTGCGGGAATGGCAGCGGCTGGCCACAAAGACGCATAATGGAGGGGGGGTGGAGGGGAAAGTTGGGGGGGAAGCAGATAATGCAAAGAAGCATGTCAGGATAGATAGGGAGATATCTAATGGGAGAAGGACTTGGGGAGGGGAGAGAAAGGTAAGAAACGAGGCACGGAGTGGTGTGCTAGTGCCATGCTCAACGGCCTCCGATAAGCAGGGGTGTGATGGCCGCAACCAGAGCAGCACAGAGTGCCTTCGCTTGGTGCTCGTACCATACCAAGTGCACGTACCTCGGAGGGGTTGGTGGGGGCGCGGGCGAAGCAGTTGCGGATGGGGAGGTGGAAGCAGTCCTTGGCGTAGAGCAGGTCCTGCACGAAGAACCAGTCGTCTGGGCACTGCCTGTGCGGCCGGTACGCGTGGTACTTGGCCAGCTCCGCTGGACTCGCCTGGCAGTAGTAGCCCTGTGGCGTGTGGCAGGCACGGGTGGGGAGGGGAGGGGAGAGAGGAGGTGGAAAAAGGGGAAAAATGACGGCATGTGTTGGGGCACAGGATGCAATGGTGTGTAGGCATGCAGGTGCACAAGAAACAGCACACAGTATGGAAAGGCACGGGCGTAGTGTGGCTGTGGAGAGGTGTGCTAGAGAGGCAGAGAAATCTCAATGGTGAAATGCGGGCACAGTACCTTCCAGGAGGTGGGGCGTTGTGGCGGCATGTTGGCCTGCTTGACAGCGTTGCCCGCCTTATCCTTGAGTGCCAGCACGCACTGCTGCTCCAACATGCTCACAGTTCGGTTGTTCGCCTGCCCACCAGCGCGGCCAGCACATGGGCGCGACATTCGGGGGAACAAGGCAAGAGCCAAGGCAAGTTGGCACATGGGACGAGGGCACAGACGAGGGGATTCAAGTGTTATTGAACCTTCTTGGGCCAGCAATACCAAGGGTGTGTGATGGTACGATTGGGTGCAGGGTTAGGGGCGGAGAGGGGCCAAAGGGAGGACAAGTAAGGGAAACGTGCAGAAACTGAACGTAAAGGAGAGGGGACGGAGAGAAAAAGAGACTAGTAGAGACGAACGGTGCAACTAGCCATCCCCCCCACGTTGGAGTGCACTGCAGCAGAGAGCACACCTTTTCAGTGAGCAGCTTGGGAGCCCAGTCGCCCTGGTCGTAGAGAAAGTCCTTCACTCTCTGCATCGCCTGCGCCTTCTCCTCCAAACTCGCCTGCACTCATGGGGGACGCACAGGGCATGAGGACGAGTTAGCATGCTGGGGACTGCTGAGGGGAGGCATGGGAAGGGGTCATGAAGACATGGACAGTGCAGTGAATGGGTCCCAGGTAAAACCGAGGGAGGGCAACAATCAGATGCTGGGCTTGGTTGCTGGCACCAGCAGCCATGCATGTCCTGAGGGAGTGTAGTGGTTGAACTGGCACACATCATGCTTGTAATGACACTGCTTATGACGTGAATGGAGAAGTGGCGTATGGCATGGCAAGGCTGTCGCGGCGTGGCATGGCATGCATGGTGGGTACGGTGGAAGGACCTTGACACTCTCAATCTTGGTCTTGATATCATCAATATCGCTCTGCACTGTCACCAGCTTGGCCTGCAGCACATCCACCGGGGATGCCTTCAGTAACCGCCGCCCTCCCCCTGCCATCCCCAAGCCCTCCCCATCCCCACGCCCACCATCTGCCCCTACCTCCATCCAATCCTCTTCTTCCCCTTCCGCCCCTCCAACCACCCGCCCCAACAACCTTTCCTTCAGCTTTATTCCCCCGAGTCCCAACAAGGAATCATCCTCTCCCCTATCTCTCGCCCCTGGTCCCTGCCCTGCACGCCACGTAGCCCTAGCCGGCCCATGGGCGCCCAGTGCTACCACGGCGCCACTCTCCCTGCTCCCGCCCTCCTCCATCTCTCTAATCCTCCCACGGCCTTCCACTCTCCCCGCGTCCATCCCCTGTGCCGTTCTCCCAGGACCGTGCTCACCACCTATGCCTCTGCTCACTGCCACATTACCATCACGGGCTGCTGCCTCATCCTGACCAGGTGCCTCCAAGGAGGGACCACTGGGTGTTTTTAGGGGTTGCGAGGCGGTGAGGAGGAGGGAGAGGTTGGCGAGGATGTGTGGAGAGAGGCAAGCCGTGAGGGTGCGAGGCAGGGCGAGCAAGCGACGGCGGGCGCCGTACATCTGTGCCCTGCGCTGTGAATACGCTGGTGCATGGGGGGCATGGGGATGGTGGGAATAAGGGGGAAAGGGAACGGATGTGCGGGGGACAGGGGGAAAGGGAGAAGAGGAAGAAGATGTCAAAAGTGGGAAGATGCTGCTTGTCTGCGACAACTCAAGCGATACACACAGAACGGCATAGCATGGATACTTCAGTGAGGTGATATGGTGGCATTGGATTTGATTATGACATAGCATGCAGCACTTGGCAGGGAGAGTGCAGGCGTGGGTAGGGCTAGTGCAGGGGGGCGTACGTCCATAGAGGCCCAGCAGTCTGGTGACCTCCGCCCTGCACTCGTCGCAATTCTCCTCCTCCGCTCCCTCTGCACCCGCTGACTCCTCCCCTTCTCGCTGCTGCTGCTGTTGCTGCTGCTGAAGCGGCACCTGCGTCTGCATGTCCTGCTGCGGCAGCACCCGCTGCTGTTGCTCCTGCTGCTGTCTCTGCTGCTCGAAGGCCTGCCCATCGGCGCGCATCTGCCCCTGTGCTTGCCGTGCATCCTGCCACCTCCCATCCTGTGCTCCCCCCGTTAGACCTCCCTGCGAGTTCATCCCTCCTTGCTGCTGCGTTGCCATCCGCGCTTTCCAATCTCCACCACTCTGTACCCCTCCAAATCCTCCCTGCATCCCTCCCCCGGCAAATCCTTGCCCTATGCCCATCCCCCCATTTCCCCATCCGCCTCGCTGCTCCTGTAGGCGCATCCGCAAGGCTCCGCCCGTTCCCCGCCCCTCCAGCAGACGGGGGTCTCCTCCCAGCGCCATTCCGCCTTCCGCTCCGCCGCCTTCCGCGCGCTGCAATGGCCTGCGGAGGGATACGCGGACAGAGGGGAAGGATGAAGGAACGTCAGCAGCGGATAGATCCGGGGAAGCGGAAGAGAGATCGGATAGATTGGGGAATCAACAGTACGAAGGAAAATAGAGCGGGAAACGAGAATGGGTGGGGGAGGAGAAGTGGGGAGAGGATGGGACTGAGGAGGGGAGAGGGGTGCTTTTCAGAGGGTGGAAGCCCCTTGATACACGGCACGCAATGCGAGAGATGGAACCAGCACGGGGTCCCGCGCACAGCCCCGTACCGAGACAATGACCGCGAAGATTGAACGGCTAGCCTTGAAAAGAACGCTTGAACGTGTGCGGAATAAGACCCACAACGACTTTTTTCTCTCAATGTCCGGCCATGGGACACCCCCGTGATAGCAGGTCGCCGCGTCGATCCGCAAATTCAATCATATATCCGCGATCGTTGTTCTGGCGTGGACGCCGGGAATGAGCAACAGCCGCGCATCTGGGACTTACTTTTCGGCGAGTTTGTCGAGCGTACTAAAGTCGAGGAACAGGCTGCGGCTACTAAACTGCTCCGCGGCCAGCAACGCGACGAGTCCCAGCATCCCCGCCGCCACGCATCGCCAGCACGTGAACCGGCGCCGGCCTTTGCCGCTCGCGCTCTTGGCCTTGGAGAGCACACTCGGCGATCCCGGCACAGCGGATCGCCGCAACGGGGACGAGCTGCGCAGGCTGCTGACTGACGTGGACAGCGGCGAGCCGAGTCGCAGCATCTCTGCTGCGGTGGCCTGATACTCTTCAACGGCTAGCTCGTGGGCATGGGAATGTTGCGCGGACGACAAGACATCTGTCGATTTAGAAATATCTGAGGACCTATGATCAAAAGCGCCGAGCGTGTAGCGAGGCTTTCAAAAAAAGCCACGTAGGAGTGGCCAACAAAGTAGCACAACGACGCAGCGCCAACGGCCAAGAGCAGCAGAGCGGCAGATAGCAGGAAGGGCAGGCCCAGCAAACCCTGAGATAGGTATTACCGAACCGAGGTGAGCTACCAACGAACGGTCGCATGTTCTGGTCCAGGTGGTTTCGACGATGCCAAACACTAGGTTCGGTCTGGCTGCGCGAGTGTCGCAAAACGCCCTCCTGCGATGAGTTTGTAACCAGCTGTCACCTGAAGGCACAAACACACTCTAAGCCTTTTACAAATAGCATGCTTCATATTTTCCCTTACGGTATGTTGTAGTATGAAAATCAGGTACATGGTTAATCCCTCAGCGTCCCAGCGCGGGGGCTTATGTTTCTTCACAATGCCCAACCCGTTCAAGAATCTGGAGATTGACACTTGGGAACTGGACTATTGATTGATTGAGTTGTGTATTGACACTTGAATAGGAATTGCATGCATAAGCTTGTCAACATGGACCTTCCATGAGGTTAGCAAAAAATACGCGGTTCTCGGTCTCTGCTTTCATACCAATGTTGAAAGATGGATCATCTGAGTTGAGCAAGGGAGTGAGCCAGGGGAACATGGAATTGGAGGGCATGAAACGCTTGCTCTGCTATGATCCCAGAAGCTGAACAGTGCTAAAGAGACATGAGGGACTCCAATTCCAAATTGTGGTCTGGAAAAAATGTAATTTGATGACAACAGTACCCATGATTGGAATATCATGTTCATTTCTCTTGTACAGCTTCCTGTGTGCTCCTCAACTCCTCCCTCTGCTGCCTGACTCCTTTCCTTGCTGTGACTAGCACAAATAAGCTTCCTCCTCTGGCGGCATGCGCACCATGCCACTGCTCGGGGAGGTTGCTAGAATCAGGAAGATTACATCGCAGCGTCTGTGGCTGCTTGCAAGAAACAAAATGGTCTTGATTGCAGCTTCCACTTGGTGGCCCAGGACCGAACTTGGAGCCATGGCCTGCAACTTCCCTTCATGCCATCACCAATCAAGGATGCTCAACAGCTGCCCAGGCAATCCGAGAATGCCACGGCTGACATTGCCACCTGTGTTACAGCCTAAACTCCTCCCCTTCCGTCTCTTGGTTCCCACAGCAGCAGCGTTTCTGCTGCTCGTCTTTTGACATTCAGCGACCATATAGCATGACCGCCCATGTGCCATGCACCACAGGGAGCCTAGCGGAAGGGGGAGCTGCTAAGAGAGCGAGCAGGGAGAGGGGAACAGGCAACAAGGAAAGTAAGAGCGAGGAGTTTGGGAGAGGGGAAAGAGACAGCGAGAAGAGGGGAGTTGCGCAGTGGGCATGTGGAGGAGAAAGCGGTGCCTGCCTGTGTGCGTTGCACATGGTAGCGAGCTCAAAGACCCATTGTGCTATTGGCGGTGGGGGAGATGGGTGGAGTAAGTGGGCGGCGAGGGAAGCGTGGCCTTGGAAGACCGAGAGCTCTCACTTCGAGCATAAGCAACAAATGGCGGGCGGACACAAGCTTTCGCGGGTCAAGTGCCCAGTTGTGAATAGTGCAGGCCGTAAATGTTTGGGATAAGCAAGCGATCGGTCGTTGCGAAGGGTGGTGCAGACAGAAGCGCGACTCAGAGCGATGGTACGCTGCCGAAGGTTCACCACAGGGGCGGACAGTTTGGCCCCGCACCACATAAGCGGGTGTGTGGGTCTGTGTTATCCATTCCAGCATGGGAAGTCCCTTGGATACGCGATTGCGGCACCTGTGGACGAACGGGTAACTGTGCACGCAATGAGGGTCGGCAGGGCGTAACTCGACGAAATGTATAGAATTTTCCTCACGACTACTGCCGCAGTCCGTGCTACTGCATCATGACGATTCAGGTGCTACTGACGTGCAGCGGTAGCGTCTGCCAGACAATAATCTATCCTGCGACAGGTGCGTGGGCCTTCGTTATCCATTCCAAAATACAGATACTCGATCGCGACACCTATCAGATTGCGTCATCACTTTCCGCCATTTTTTGCCTTTCCCCGCAGAGCCAAACGAGAAACACCCCTAGCGAGACCGCCCGCGCGCAAGCTGAAAGAGCAAGGCAGAGGAAATCGCCACGCCGAATCAATGAGAGTTGAAGTGATGCGGGTGCAAGCTTGAAATGGCCGACATCGTGAACCATCTGGTGGGTTGTTGGCAAACGATAACCGTTTGCGAAGTTTTCGTGCGTTCTGCTCTGAAAACTGCGCGAAACGTTCGCAACAGAACCCTCAATTGGCTGTAACCAGATTGCGAATTGACTACGGGTCAGATGCACTTGTTCTACATGTGCGAACCTAGTATTCGGTCGCACCGCGGCAGCGCTGATCGTCAACCACTCTCGATGCGACGAATCTACTTCGACTCCTCGCAAGCGACCGGCCCATGCGACCGTCGATGGGTCGCAAAAACAGTCGTCGTCGGTCACCGTCTTCCCCGTTGTTGTGATTGTGAATCATGGCCCACCCGGGATGTGCCTTGCCACCACCACAGGGATTGCCGCGCTCCCACGAATCTGCATTTTCACTTTCGTCGATCCCCCTTCCCACCTCCGCATCCCCTCACCCTCCGCTACTCTACCGACCATACCATCGCCTACCTCAATAATTCCAGACCTAAACAGAGTGTTTTCCTCCAAAGCACTACTCGAACTTCGCCTGTTATCGTCTGCTCTTAAACTTGTTCCGTCTACGGGTTTCGTTTGATCGGTTCACCACGAAAAGGAAGTGGTTGACCATAGCGGCTTATGACGCAATAGGATAGAATAAGACCGCGAAGGGACCTTTGCGGTGATAATAAGGCCCGCAAAACTTGTTCCTGCCGATGAACACCATTAGCCTTTCCCGTGCTTCCACCACCGGCTCGATCCTACCAGTACCCGGCTCTCCATAAGACCACTTTCAGCCAGAATTTCCAATAATCGTGCTGGTGAACTGTGTTCGATTTCCCACCAACCGTCCCGCCTCATGCCTCTCGAGACGACACTTGACGTCGTCCATGCGACGTCGGCGTCGTCGCACGGGGAAGCGCGTGCTTCCGCGCGTCCGGGCCCGAAGGCCCCACGGGGTCGATGGCGGATAGCCGTCGGTCTTTGGCGCGTCATTGCCGCAGTGCCTCACGCGGTCTTGGCGGTACTTCAGCGGGTGCGCGGGGGACTGGCGAGCGGGAAGGCTCGGCGCGCATTGACGAGGCGTGTGATGCGGCAGATGGTGGTGGTGCACGAGGAGGAGACGGAAGTGGTGCTCGAGGCGTTCTGCTCCTTCTTCTTCGTACGCCCGCCTCCTTCCCATTCATCCTCGCGCTGCGCGCACCGCCCCTACTCCCGCCCCGTTGACGGCGCCTTGTTCCTCTTTTCTGATCGCCGCGTGTGCTACTCCCATTCAGTCTTTCAATTCTTAAATCCTTCCGCTTCTCTACGCTGCAATTGCTCCTCTGGGTCCCTTCCCGCCCTATCCCATCCCATCCCATCCCATCCCATGCCATGCCATCAAACCCCCCGCACCCCGCAGCTGCTAGCGGCGTACTTCGTGTGCCAGCCGCTGCGCGACGAGGCGGCCATGAGTCTGGGCACGGGCGCGCTGCCAGGGCTCTTCCTCGCGTCGCTCGCGTCCACCGTCGCCGCTGCTCCGCTGTCGTCCGCGCTGCTCTCGCGCACGGACATCAGCAAGGGACAGGTGCGCACAGCATGCACTAGAGAGCACCGGAGCAGCGTCACAGCGTGTGAACATGTGAACGTGCACGTCTGGCCTTCCTGCCAGCGTCCTTCCTCCCTGCTCACACACATGCACGCGCATGCAGCGTGCGCATGTCTCGTCCATTCAGAGCCCCCCTCTGCCCTACACCCGCTCTGTCCTGCACGTCCCAACCCCAACCCACGCCCCGACCCCTCTCTTCCCTTCCCCTCCCCACCCCCCATGTGTTGGCAGGCCCTGCTGCTGTTGTACCGTTTCTTCTCGCTCTGCCTGCTCGGCTTCTTCTGCCTCTACCTCCTCGTGCCACCGCCTGCCACTCTCCCTGCTCTGCCCACGGTAAATCTCACCCATGCCCACGCCCTCCTTACACGCCCATGGACCAATGCACAGAACCCAGCCAAGCACAAGCATGCACGCTCTCGCACCGCTGCACACGGCACCCTCGTTACATGCCGGCATATGCAATCCACCCACCGATCCCTGCTTCCTTCAACCACTCTGCATCTCACCCGCTGCCGTGTGTCCATGCGCACAGCTACCAGACGAGCTGGTGGAGGAGGGCGGGCATGCGGTGCAGGCGGCAGTGTACCCGGATGCGCCTGGCCAGCTCGCTGTCTTTGCTGACGTCTCACTGCCTTTCCTTGCTGTCCGAGCCGGCCTCTTTCTCTTTGTGAGCATCCTCAGCCGCCACTCGCGCTCTTGCTGTTCGCACTCTTGCTCACTCAAACCACACACGCATCCTACCATTGTTGGTCTTTTTCTCACTGTGTGTGTTTCACCCTTTCCCCAACCCAATCAACCTGCGCCACCACGCATCACCTCCGTCAACGAAAGCAAGCTGCGTTCTCAAACCCTCTCCCCCTCCCGCACCTCATCCCCTTCCCGCCCGCGTGTCCTCCTGGGTCACAGGTGGCGCTGCTGAATCTGTTCGCTATAGCTGCCATGTGGGCTCGCCTCGCCGATGTCATGACCAGTGAGGTGCGCGCTGCTCACGCCCTTGCACGCCCTTGCACGCCCTTGCACGCCCTTGCACGCCCTTGCACGGCTTCACAAACGTCTTCAATATGCCATCATCTTGCACCAGCTGCCCCTATCCCACATGTGCCGCCCGCCCTGATGGCCTTGCCGTTACTCCATCAGCCCACCGTTCCCAGTCCAGCTCCGTGTTCACTCCCCTTGTACCACCTTCCGACCCCTTCTGGTCCCTTCTCTCCTCCCGTGCAACCCATGGCTCGCCGTGTGTGCAGGCGGGCGCGCGTCTGTTTGGGTTCATAGGTGCGGGTGCCACGTTCGGCCAGCTCGCAGGCTCATTGCTCGCCTCCTCGCTCGCTGCACTGGGGCCCTGTGAGTCAAGGACGATGGTGGGGGGAAGAGTGAGTGAGGTGGGGTGTAAGGGCATGGATGTGATGGGAAGATGGATGGGAGGGTGTGGCAGAGAGGAAGGTCTGTTAGAAACACAATGGGAACACCACTGCATCTCACGCATTACCCGCACCACACCACCAACTGCAAAAACTGAATTAACTGCAGAAATGTACATGGGAGACAAACACACAACACACAACATCACCATATGCTTTCTCTCCGCCGCCCTGCCCGCCCTGCCCACCGTGCCATGCAGATCTGCTCATCCTATCAGCCGTGCTCATGGAGGTGGCAGCGCGCTGCTCCACACTCATAGACGACGGCTCCTCGCTGCCCCACTCCATGCACTCGCACGCGAGCGACAGCGACACTCATGCCTGCACGCATGGGGACATGCCAGGGGAGGGGCACGGGCATGGATGGTGCTCGCATGCCCGCCCACGCAAGGGCAAGGCCGTGCCGCTGCTGCACCACACTGCTGTCCCCGTTGCTGCTCCGTCTCCTCTCCAACCATCCGCCACCGTCCCCCTGTTGATATCCTCCTCCTCCTCTTCCTCCTCTGAAGCCCACTCTGCCTTTGTCTGCTCCTACTGCTCGCACCAACAGCTGTATGCCCCTACAGCCATCGCTGCTGCGCCCTCCCCCTCTCCTCCCCTCATTACTCCCGCAGCAGACACACCCTCCCACCCGCTCCTCACCCCCCCAGTCCCTACAGACACCGCTTTCTTCCCCTCCCCATTCCTTCCCCTCCCCCCTCCCGCCCAGCCCTCTCCCGTTCCCCCTTCCGCGCCCTGTCTGCTGCATGCGCGCGTGGGAGGGGAGGAAGGGACAGAGAAGGGCGGAGGGGGCGGACTTGGGGCTTGTGGGTTGCATGAGAGGGAGTTAGGGGGTGGAGGAGAGGAGGGGACGAAAGGTGGGGGCGCATTGTGCATTCGCTTTGGCTGTGCTTCTCAGGATCAAGAGGCAACGTTTGAGTTGACGCAAATGTTCCCTCATGCATCTGGAGACGGAACGGCTGTAGAGGTGGGTGGGCAGCGGGTAAGAGGAGGAGGTGGGGGAGAGGCGAGGGAAGGAGAAATGGCGGGGCGAGGACCCATTGTACGCCCAGAGGAGCAGTTGAAAGCGGGTGATGGATGGAGAGGGGGGAAAGGGGGTGGGGAGGGAGGGAGTGAGGGGAGAGAGGACAGTGGGGGGCGGCAGGGCGCATGTGTTAGGGAGAGAAGGGTAGGTGCAGTGCTGCGGTCTGCTGTGTCGTGGCCCCAAAGCCTGGCAGAAGCTGCTGCTGCCGAGGGGCGGGGGGAGGAGAGAGCGTGTGGCAGGAATGGCGGAAAGGGGCTGAGGGGAGGACGACGAGGAGCGGGGAACACAGTGGGCAGAGAGTTTGAGGGGGAGAGAGCTGCAGATAGCATTGCAAGGCCTTCTGGGATGGCTGAAGAGAGAGGCAGGGATGCAGCAGTGACGAATGGAATTGGACATGAAAGAGGTGCAGTGACAGGGGGAGCAGCAGGTGCAGTGAGAGTAGAGAGGGGGGAGTTGGTTTGGAGGAAGAGGGGTGATCGATCGGGTGTGCTGGGTACAGGGGAGGAGGATGGGGTGGGGGAAAGGCTTGGTAGAGGGGAGAGTGGCAGTGGTCTGACCAATGTTGCTGTTTTTCGGAGCACAAGTGGTGGTGCCGCTGTGCCCACTGGAGTGGATGCAGGGGTATGTATCGGGCTTGCAGTGCAACAGAAGCACCTGAAAGGCCTCCTGAAAGGACACCTGGGAGGAGACACGGGCGTGCAGGCAGGAGGACAAGCAGCACGTGAAGGGTACGGATCACTCATGCACTCGGTGTCCACGCAGCAAGAGCACGTGGATCATGGTCGAGGCAGTGGAGCTCGCTCCTCTCTAGCAGAGGGAGCAGTGGGGGCAGCAGCAGCAGCAGCAGCAGCAGCAGCAGCAGCAGCAGCAGCAGCAGAGGGAGAGGCAGGTTTGGACCTGGGGAATTCACCAAGCAAGCTGAAGCCGAGACCATTGTGGCAGTGGCAATGGTTGCGCTTGCAGGCTCCCTGGCAAGGGACCGTGAAGCAGGAACGAGCAGAGCAGGGCGGGCGAGGGGCGCGTGAGGGAGCAGCAGAGAGGGAAGTGAGGGTGGCATGCAATGAGGGTATTGGGAGAACGGGGGAGAGTCGGCCATTGCGGGCGTGCCACTCACTGCCGTGCAGAGCAGCAGGTGGGGCAGAGGTGCAGAGAAGTGTACAGGCGTGTGTGCATGGAGGAGTGGGAAGGGGAATGGGGGATGCAGCTGTGTGCCGCAGCTGCATGGGAGATGTGAAGGGGCGGATGGGGGAGGCGAGAGGCGCGGGGGAAGCAGTATTGCAGGGGGAAGGGAGAGGAGAAGCGTGTGAGGCGATGGCACAAGGGTGGGCGGCGCGGGCAGATGGGCCAGGCAGCGATGGCGTATCCAGGGATGGCTTTTCGGGCCTGCTGTGTTCACACTGTCATTCTCATGAGCCCACAGTAGCAGCAGCAGCAGCACGAGCACAGCAGGCTGAGTGGTGTGGGCCGGATAGCAGTAGGCAGAGCAATGCAAGGAATGGCGGTGATGCGGGTGAGGGGTGGTGCTCTGTGGGGGCAGAGCGGGGATCAGGGGCGGCATTGACTGCGAACCATGATGGCCCTGGGTGCAGGGGCAGCAGCACAGGCAGGGCGAGCAGCAGGGGTGCACGGCAGAGTGGGGGGTTGCGGGAGGTGGTGGCGGGAGTGCGGCTGGTGCTGTCATCATCGTATCTGCTGCATGTGTGCGCCTTCCTCATGCTCACTGCTGTCGTCTCCTCCTTCTTTTACTTCGAGGTATGCTGTCACCTCATTTCTGTGTGGCATTCTCCCCTGTCACCAGTCTACCATGTTCATTCATGTTGGCATTATTGCTCTTGCTGCTTCCTCATGGCATGGCATGGCATGGCATGGCGTGGCATGGCATGGCATGGCGTGGCATGGCATGGCGTGGCATGGCATGGCGTGGCATGGCATGGCATGGCGTGGCATGGCATGGCGTGGCATGGCATGGCATGGCATGGCATGGCATGGCACAGAGATCGTCAGTGGTGGCAACATCGGTGGTGGATCCAGTGCAGAGGCGCAAGGCCATAGCCAACATCAACTCGCTCTCTGCAGTCGCCACAGTCGTCTTCCAGCTCACTCTCACGGTATCCCCACATACATGGCCCGCCCATCCATTTCCTGCATCATGCTTGTCCATGCCTTGCCCTCACCTCGTCTGGTACAACCCTGGCAATTACAATGGCCCCATCATGTCCCCGTATGTACCTCTGCAAGTATCCCCATAAGTTGAACCTAATTGTTTTGTTAGACATGCCATATGCTTCAAAGAGTTTATTTCTCCTTACTCCCTGTTGCGTGATTCACTCCTTCAGGGTCGTCTGCTAACAACGTTTGGGGTGGCAGCAGCACTGGCAGCGTCGCCAGTGGCAGCACTGATAGGCATGGCGGCCATTGCATGGCACCCCACACCCCTTGTGGTCGCCGGCTCTGAAGCCCTGCGCAAGGTAATGTGCCCTCATAGGCGTGCACTAGGAAGTTCACAGTTATTCCCCTTTCTCACTCCTCCCTCCAACACCCACACTCTCTCCCTCTCTTTCTCCCGTCTTTCACTCTTACTATCCTAGTGTTCCTCCCTGGTCTCACTCTTTGACTGTGCCTTTCCCACCACCTCCCTGTCTGGGCCCTGGTGGCTGGTGCAGGTGGTGACATACGTGTTGACACGGCCCAGTCGTGAGATTTTGTTCACCGTGGTGACACGCGAGGAGAAGTACAAGGCCAAGGTGCGCCCACACACACACTCACGACATGGTCACCCTGCCACACACACACACACCCATGCGCACAAACATCCGCATGCACGCACGCATGCTCACCACCCTGCACACACATGCTGATCGCAAGCCCCGCCTTCACCAAACTCCGCCTTCTTTACCTCCCGCTCTCCCCCCCGCCCCGCCTTTCTCACCGCACATATATCCTTTCCCCCACCGCCGTGCCCCATCGCCCATGGTGTCACCGGCCAATCACCCCATAATCCAACTGTGGCAGGTGACAATAGACACGGTGGTGCAGCGCCTGGGCGATGCAGCAGCAGCGGGCTTCTTCCGCCTGCTGGGCGGGGTGTTCCTCCTGGGGCCCTCTGGCGTTGCCACCTACACTGTGCCGGTAACCGCCCCTCGCCACCTCACTCACTCTCCCCTCTTCCTCCTGCTCCCCTTCTCCCTCTCGCCCATCCCACCTCCTCTTCCAAATTTAACTTGACGTGAGCCATTGGCACATCCCGTTCTTTCGCACTCTCTGTCTGCCATTCTCCCTTCACCCCACACCTGCCTTCATGTGTTGCACAATCCCTCACGGCATGTCTCTCTGTGTGTGTGTGGTGTGCAGCTGTGTGTGCTGTGGTGTGGCCTTGCGGTCACCTTAGGTCTGCGACAGCAAGCCATGGCGCGCATGCAGCAGGGAGGGGGGCCACCAGCTCCCAAACGTGCACAAGGCCTCTGATTTGGAAGTCTAGGCATGCGTTGAGATACCGTGAGAAAGCATAAAGCAGAGTGTACATGGGTGTTGTCGTCCTGGCTCTCCAGGCCGGGTTGAAATGTATATTCAAGTGCCTGTTTTTTTGGAACGGTACCGTATAAGGCATCCTGTCCTGTGTTGCTCCCTAAGGTGCATTGTCAGGTGCAGTAACAGCATCCAGCTGAATGCAGCAACACAAGATTGCCTAAGTGTCCACACAGCAACAAGGCTTGAAGACACTATCAATGAGGCAAGCTCACAGATAAACTCATGTAAATTTTCCAGGAATGTGTACAACTCTGCTTAGTTCACTACTACTACTACAACACTACTAACATGGCAATAACTCCACTAACTACCGGAGGCCAACTGAGGTGTGTCAACACAACAATACGGTACCCAACAAAACTTCACCAACACACCACCTGAAACAGACCCTCTCTCTCATCCCTGCACCCACACACACCCTCCATGCTCATCCACCCGGCTCCTCTACAATTTTTGGCGCCGTACTCGGGTTGTGCTATGGGAGAATTTTTTCGACCAGTATGAACGCTTGTGTGTAGGTAAAGGCGGAGCTGAAACTCTGAAATCTCTCAAATTATGTGAATCCGAAAGCTTAAATTCTAGTGGTGTTGAAGTAGAAGGCCTAATCTAGTAGACTAGCAAGAAAATGGTACAAATTGCATCTCTTTAAACAAACATAGTGCGCTTGTCAGTATGGTCGATATGCGTGCCCGTAGTGCAGGTACCATGTACGACTAAAGGCCTACATATGCCAAATTACATAGATTCCAAAGGTTAAAACCTGGTATGGGGGTGGGGAATGGTGTAATTTAAAGGAAATGGGAAAATATATGGTATTCTCTATGTTTCTACAGTGAAAATAATGCGTTGGTCGGTTCGGCCAGTATGCACGCTTGTGTGTAGGTACAAGGCGGAGCTGGAACTCTGAAATCTCCCAAATTATGTGGATCCGAAAGGTTAAAACCTAGTGGTGTTGAAGTAGAAGGCCTAATCTAGTAGACTAGCAAGAAAATGGTACTAATTGCATCTCTTTAAACATGCATAATGCGTTTGTCAGTATGGTCGACATGCGTGCCCGTAGTGCAGGTATTATGTACGACTGCAATGCCTATATATGCTAGATTACATAGATTCCAAAGATTAAAATCTGGTATGTGGGTGGGGAATGTTGCAATTTAAAGGAAATGGGAAAAAATATTTCTCCTCTATGTTTCTACAGTGAAAATAATGCGTTGGTCGGTTTGGCTAATACGCACGCTTGTGTGGAGGTACAAAGCGGAGTTAAAACTCTGAAATCTCCCAAATTATGTGGATCCGAAAGGTTAAAACCTAGTGGTGTTGAAGTAGAAGGCCTAATCTAGTAGACTAGCAAGAAAATGGTACTAATTGCATCTCTATAAACATACATAATGCGCTTGTCAGTATGGTCGACATGCGTGCCCGTAGTGCAGGTACCATGTACGACTGGAATGCCTATATATGCTAGATTACATAGATTCCAAAGGTTAAAACCTGGTATGGGGGTGGGGAATGTTGCAATTTAAAGGAAATGGGAAAATATATGGTATTCTCTATGTTTCTACAGTGAAAATAATGCGTTGGTCGGTTCGGCCAGTATGCACGCTTGTGTGTAGGTACAAGGCGGAGCTGGAACTCTGAAATCTCCCAAATTATGTGGATCCGAAAGGTTAAAACCTAGTGGTGTTGAAGTAGAAGGCCTAATCTAGTAGACTAGCAAGAAAATGGTACTAATTGCATCTCTTTAAACATGCATAATGCGTTTGTCAGTATGGTCGACATGCGTGCCCGTAGTGCAGGTATTATGTACGACTGCAATGCCTATATATGCTAGATTGCATAGATTCCAAAGATTAAAATTTGGTATGTGGGTAAGGAATGTTGCGTGCCCGTAGTGCAGGTACCATGTACGACTGGAATGCATACATATGCAAAATTACATAGATTCCAAAGGTTAAAACCTGGTATGGGGGTGGGGAATGGTGTTGTCAAGAGAATTAGGCAAAAAGAGAGGGTTGAACTAGCAAGAATGGGGATACAAATAGCAAACCCTAGAAGGGTTGTACTCGCTACAGAGCACCCCACTGCAGGCTAGACAAATATAACATTCTGACACACCCCCATAGCCAAAGTGGGGTGTAATCAGCAGAGCAAGGAAAGCAGTACAAGCTCAGGGTGGATCACGATGTCACCACACATTCTGAGCACAAGTTCAAGAAGCAACAGTTTATAAGTTATGAGCAAAGCTAGAGGCGGTCACAGAGGACAAATGAGGAGGAGGAGGGCTGGCGAGAGGAGAAAGGAGTGGAGGCGACGACTGAAGCTGCAGACACACGGGCATCAGACGGCTCTGGCGCAACGCTAGTGGCTACCGGAAGCAGAGCCCCGGACTACAGGGGTAATAGTCGCTGCGGAGGGTGCAGCGGACCCACGGGCGACAGGTGCAGCCGGCTCTCTGAGCTACCGGAGGTCCGCGGAACCCCGGAATACAGGTGCTGCGGACGACACGACGGCAGTCTCCGCTCAACCTCCCCCAACAGTCCCACACCCCTCGACACACACCCCTTGCTTCACCCCTAGCTCCACTCCCACGGTACCCCCCTTAAACCCCAAACCCTAGACTCCCACACACCACCCCCCTCAGCGGCAGCTGCAGTAGAGGGAGACTAGGGAGGAGGAGGAGTAGGTAGAGTAACGCACAACCGACACCCCCACAGCCGCCACCCCCACACTCCCCACCCCCAAACCCTAAAACGGGCGAAAGGGAGAAGGAGCGCGGGGGACGGCGAGGGGGAAGGCGCGCGACCCCCAGGGCGCCACCTCTGGGCAGCGGGGGCCGCGCGCGGCTCCCCAGGGCGCCTCGACGGGGCAGCGGGGGGCCGCGCGCGGCTCCCTAAGGCGTCGCGACGAGGCAGCGGGGGCCGCGCGCAGCTCCCCAGGGCACCTCGACGGGGCAGCGGGGGGGGGGGCCGCGCGCGGCTCCCTAAGGCGTCGCGACGAGGCAGCGGGGGCCGCGCGCAGCTCCCCACGGCGTCGCGACGAGGTAGCGGGGGGCCGCGCGCGGCTCCCCAAGGTGTCGCGACGAGACGTCGGGGGCGACGCGCGGGGCTGCGGGGCGACGCGGGGGGTCGACGGCGACGGGGGGAGGGCGCTTCGACGGTGGGAAACCGCCGGCAGGAAGAAGTCGTCGCGCGCCCGAGGCGCCCGGCAGGAAGTACAGCAGCGGAAGCATTAGGTGGTGGGCCCACCCACAGGATCGACCCAGGAGGGTCGACCTGCTCTGATAGCATGTCGAGAGAATTAGGCAAAAAGAGAGGGTTGAACTAGCAAGAATGGGGATACAAATAGCAAACCCTAGAAGGGTTGTACTCGCTACAGAGCACCCCACTGCAGGCTAGACAAATATAACATTCTGACAGGTGTAAATTAAAGGAAATGGGAAAACATATACATTATTCTCTATGTTTCTACAGTGAAAATAATGCGTTGGTCGGTTTGGCCAGTACGCACGCTTGTGTGGAGGTACAAAGCGGAGTTGGAACTCTGAAATCTCCCAAATTATGTGGATCCGAAAGGTTAAAACCTAGTGGTGTTGAAGTAGAAGGCCTAATCTAGTAGACTAGCAAGAAAATGGTACTAATTGCATCTCTATAAACATACATAATGCGCTTGTCAGTATGGTCGACATGCGTGCCCGTAGTGCAGGTACCATGTACGACTAGAATGCCTTTATATGCTAGATTACATAGATTCCAAAGGTTAAAACCTTATATGTGGGTGGGGAATGTTGCAATTTAAAGGAAATTGGAAAAAAAAATTATTCTCTATGTTTCTACAGTGAAAATAATGCGTTGGTGGCCAGTACGCACGCTTGTGTGGAGGTACAAAGCGGAGTTAAAACTCTAAAATCTATCAAATTATTTGGATCCGAAAGGTTAAAACCTTGTGGTGTTCAAGTAGAAGGCCTAATTTAGTAGACTTGCAAGAAATTGGTACCAATTGCATCTCCCTAAACATACATAATGCGCTTGTCAGTATGGTCGACATGCGTGCCCGTAGTGCAGGTACCATGTACGACTGGAATGCATACATATGCCAAATTACATAGATTCCAAATATTAAAACCTGGTATGGGGATGGGCAATGGTGCAATTTAAAGGACATGGGAAAACAAATAGTATTCACTGTATTTCTACAGTGAGAATAATGCGTTGGTCGATTCGGCCAATATGCACGCTTGTTTGTAGGTACAAGGCGGAGCAGAAACTCTGAAATCTCCCGAATTATGTGAATCCGAAAGGTTAAAACCTAGTGGTGTTGAAGTAGAAGGCCTAATCTAGTAGACTGGCAAAAAAATGGTACTGATCGCATCTCTTCAAACATACATACTGCGCTTGTCAGTATGGTCGATATGCGTGCCCGTAGTGCAGGTACCATGTACGACTGGAATGTCTACATATGCCAAATTACATAGATTTCAAAGATTAAAACCTGGTCTGGGGGTGGGGAATGGTGTAATTTAAAGGAAATGGGAAAATATATGGTATTCTCTATGTTTCTACAGTGAAAATAATGCGTTGGTCGGTTCGGCCAGTATGCACGCTTGTGTGTAGGTACAAGGCGGAGCTGGAACTCTGAAATATCTCAAATCATGTGGATCCAAAAGGTTAAAACCTAGTTGTGTTGAAGTAGAAGGCCTAATCTAGTAGACTGGCAAGAAAATGGTACCAATTGCATCTCCCTAAACATACATAATGCGCTTGTCAGTATGGTCGACATGCGTGCCCGTAGTGCAGGTACCATGTACGACTGGAATGCCTATATATCCTAAATTACATAGATTCCAAAGGTTAAAACCTGGTATGTGGGTGGGGAATGTTGCAATGTAAAGGAAATGGGAAAACAAATATTTTTCTCTATGTTTCTACAGTAGAAATAATTCGTTGGTCGTTT